CAAGCCCTGACAGGCTCAACTCAGGCCACAAATCTTCTGAAGAGATTTTAAATCTGCTCATCAGAAGAGCTGCCACATCAGTTCATAGGAAACAGTCATGGATATTAGGTGTTTGCTCAGTGTTGTACAGGCCCATGCAGAAACCCCTCCAGAGTGCCAATCAGAAAGATAATCCATGGGAAGAAAGGTTAAGCCAAGCCAGGAAGCAAAGGCTATCACAGTTTAATCTATAAGCCACTCATGAGGCTTTATTTCCTAGACCTGCACAGTTTCATTAACTTGCAAATATTCATCTAGACTGGCATAATGATACAGTGGACAATGCCACTACTTGTGATGGCCAGTGCACCCAGCTCCCTGGCGCCCACATGGGACACCTGGACCGAGTTTCCAGCTCCCAATTTTGGCCTGGCCCAGCCTTGGTTGATGACGTCATTTGGGAAATAAACCAGTGGATGAAAAACTCTTCCTCTGTCAATATGCTTTTCAAATAAGTGTGTTTAAGATCTCCTGAAAATCAATCTAATTTTTCTTCCGGCCCATTTTGGATCTCAAGTCTCCTTTTCTTCCCCTCTTCCAATCTATGGTCCATGTTCAGAGCTGTTCAGTTTTTACAGAGCATACAGATTATCGTTGACCAAAGCCAGAACAAAGAAAGCAAGTCCAGCTAACTTTCTAATACCTGAAGATGTGTTAAGGAAGCAAATAACTATTATGGCCTACCTATGTGTGACCACCATTCTAACACGAAAGAAACATACATGGGATCTGACCAAAAAAAATTAGCAACATGGGGACGTTTTGTTTCATGATTAAAGTTTATCAAAAACCTTTCTTGCTCTTCAAGAATCAGCCCATATCCAGCCCTCAGTGTCGGCCTAAGGCATAAAGTTACAAGTGTCCTTTGAATCAGGTCAGATAAGAGGGCCACCATCACATCCCGGAAAACACTTTCAAGGTTAGAAGAATGCAAGTGTGCATTTCCCCACAAATTAATATTGTACTCTGGTCTTCCATTTTCACCCTAACTTATCCAATTGCTTAAGCTTGCAATATTAGCAGGCATCTGACAGCTTCCCCTTGGGGCCCTGTCCTTGGTACTTCTCACGTGTTCTCCAGAAAGAGTGAGAGCTCCATCAGAGGATGTGGACACAGGCAAAGATCTTGCTAACCTTCAACTCCCTCATTTGCAAGGTGAGCAAATGAGTTCAAGATCCCTGGAATAACTTGAGCATTTAAACTATCTGAAAGCATACAGGAATATAAAAATCTGAAGCAGAAGTTGGCCATAACCTCTTCCCAATGAAGGTTTAAAAAGTCAAGCTGATAGGTACAGACTGGATGCCCAGTGTCCTGGGCCCTGGGGAAACACACCCAGTCAGCAGCACCTAAGCTCTGTGGTCTGAAGCCTCCTGCTTCTCTGTAGACTGGCCCTGATCAGCAACATGGAAAAAGTAATTTATACACTGGCTGTATCTGGTGTTCATATACACCTGATTCGGGGCCCCTAAATTTGAGATCAATTCATTTCTCCAAATGTTGTTTATTGTGCAGCTTTACTGACAGGCAGACTACGCCTGGCTGTGCAATAAGAAATCATAGCAAAATAGAGGCATTTATCATCACAGTAACTGCACAGGGTTAGCCTGCATCTGAGACAGTCTTCCGACTCAGTCAGATTTCCCAGTCTGACACATTTCTTCACCATGGAGGGAGGCAGGCAGACCCTTGGGATTGCCCGCTGGTCTGTGTCAAGGACAGCTCTGAGTGCACCCTGGCTGACAGCTGCTCCTCACACAGGCCCTGCAGGGGACATCACATGATCGTCAGTATATATCCGAGTCCAGTCTTAAAGGGATCCCTTATTGTGACTAGCCCTAGCAGCCTTGAAGTCAGAAGAGTCAGCTCACAGCACCAGGAGAGGTCGTCCAGGAGACACCCCCAAGCTGCAGAGAAGTACGATTGCACAAAAAGGCAACAAATCTGCTTTGCCGTTCAGGAACCAGTGCTTGCCCAAACAGTATCTGCCTCACTTTGGCACCTTCGGCCATGGGAGGTGCTGGGTCAGAGTAGAAACGGCCTTGTTCACTGAGTTCTTCCCCAGTCCCTACACCCTGTCCACCCAGGTTCTGTGGTCAGTAGATCTGTCAAAGCAGCTCACTGCCTTGTTCACTTCAAGATTCACGATGCGTATCAGCTGGATTGACCCTGAGAGGTCTAAAGCAAAAAGAAGTGGGTGAAGTTGGAGAGAAAAAGGGAGCAGCTGGGGGGAGTACCTGGTTACATATATTTCATAGGACAATTCACCTTCTTTTCTCTATTTACAAAATTGTACCAGAAGAAATGTTTCAATACTTATATGCCGAGTTTAGTGAACAACGTATACACCAATTAGTGGATGCATCACCTACAACATTTGCTATTTCTATGTGATGAGAGCTTTGAAAACCCTCTCCTTTAACTCTTTTGAAATACACAATGCAGTATTGTTGGCTGCAGTCACCCTGCTGTTCAGTGACACACACAGCACTTACTGTTCCCAAGTTTAACTTGGTGTTGGTTCACTGACCCCTCCCCAGCCTCTGGTGACACTCCTCTACCGTCAAGTACACAGAGACCAACTCAGATTCCAACACATGAGATCATGCGGTGTTTGTCTTTCTCCATCTGGCCGATTTCACTTAACATAATCCCCTCAGGTTCAGCCATGTGTCATGAATGACAGGGTTTGGTCCTTCTCGTGGCTCAGCAGCATCCCACTGTGTTTATCACATTTCATATTCATCCTTTTAGACAGTTGGTTTGTTTTGTAGTTTGACTGCTGTGAATAGTGTTGCAATGAACGTGGGAATGCGATGTCTGACATACCGATTTCATTTTCTTTGGGTATGTGCTATCCCAGTAGTGGGACTGCAAGATCATCCTGGAGAATGCTACTCGACATTCCAGGGAACCCCCAGACTGCTTCCCATAAGAGTTGTGATCATTTACATTCCCATGAACAGTCACACACATTATTTTTTTATAATCAATTTACAAAAAGTTTCAGTAACTAAAAGATATCAAATCCTGCTTAGGATTCTCCAAATATTCATACTTGGGAAATACTTGGCCAGGTGATCTCAGAAACTAAAAATACTATTTACATACCCTTTCCTTGTTTGAAAATTCCCCCTGATGCCCACCTGCTTGTGAAGTTCAGTCCCTTAGTGTGACACCCTGGCTTGACAGACCCTCCAATTCTAGTTCCATTCTTTAGCACCCACAAGTATCGGCTCCCACCTAACAAATTTCTCTTCCCCTTTGTTTTCTGGCTTCTGTAACCTCTTCAAGCTGCTGTTTCCAGCTGGAATACATTGCTTCATCTTTGCATGTCCAAACGCAGTTCACTGTAGATACTCAGAAATGCTACCCTGTGCTAATCTCATTCACAAATTCACAGCTCTTATACTTGCTAGATGTTGGGCTTCTTGTATAGAAGAATTCACTATAAACATTCCTTACTTCCCTTAGACTTCTTGGGAAAATTGTCTTACGCATGAGCTCTTGTTCCCTAGTTCTCCACACTAAGTTTTGAATAACGAATATATGAAAGGCCAGTAACTGTACTGGCATGGCTGGAAGCCCTGGTGGGTGCTAAGGACTCCGGTCTGTTGAGTTCTGTCAACTGCACCTGGGGATTCTGGCCACTTGTTCTTCTGATAGCTCAGTGTTTGGCTCTGACAGAGAAGCAGCGCTGATGGGGCCACTGGCCTCTTGGAGTTAAACATGCCGAGAGTCTCTTGAATTATAGTGCACTTTGCAAAGAATCTGAGACAGCCTACATGATTAAGATGAGAGTAAAATAGAATAATCAGTGACAAGGAAAAAGAATGTCTACTTAAATTTTAACAGGGAATAAATGATTAATCCAAAAGAGTGAATTTAATATTAGGACTTTGGGGATAAACCAATTAGGAGAAATTTTTAAAATGTGAAATCATCCCGATTTCTCATAACAATGTCCAAATAAATGACTGGCTACTCTCTCCTAGTTACTCTTGCGGGGCAGTGGGCGGGAGGGGGATTTGGTACATAGGTTAAGATGCCACCTGAAATGTCACCTCACATTTAAGTCCTGGCTCTGCTTCCAATTCCAACTTCCTGCTACACCATCCTGGGAGAGAGCAGCTGGTAGCTGAAGTACTTGGGTCCCTGCCTCCCATATGGGAGAGCTGAGCAGAGTTTCTGGCTCCTGGCTCAGTCACAACTGTTGTGTGCATGCATCTGAGGAGTGAGCCAGCAGAAAGGCACTACTTAAGAGGAACAGACGGGTAGAGTAAGTTGTTAAAACTAAAAGACCTTAATTTTCTTGTCCAGTGGCTATGAAATGATGTGTACCAGGGCCAGCGTAGTGGCCTCAGCCTGTAGCATCAGCAGTCCGTCTGGGAACTGGTTCGAACCCCAGCTGTTCCACTTCCAAACCCAGCTCCCCATTTATTAGGTAGGCAGAGGAAGATCCAAGACCTTGGGTCTCTACAACCATATGGAAGATCTGGAAAAAACTACTGGCTCCTGGCATCAACTCAGCTCCAGGTCATTTGGGGAGTGGACCAGGGGATGAAAGATCTGTCTTTCCTGGGTAGCTCTGCCTTCCCAATAAAAATAAATCTTTATATATAGTTGAGCAAGAAAGAAAATCCTTTTTGAAAACATGAATTCTGTCTCACATCCCAAACCTCGCCTCAGTACCGCAGAAAGTGGAGCTTAGTGATCTTATCACGGCCTTGGGTGATGGCCACGGCACACTAGAGTTTGTACATTTGGAGCTGAACCTGCTGGCACACTTGTCTAAAGGCTCAATTTTCAGACACATCGTGCAATTCTCTTCTCGCCCCATGCTCTCATCAGCTGTACAATCCACTCACAAAAGGGTACTGGCATATACATTATCTCTGGTCTTGAACTGCTGTCATTGCCCAGCCATCCACGCTCTCAATAATCTTCCCCATCTCTTACAGCTGATCAAGCAGATCCCTGCAAATTCCTGGCCTGTGGGGAATTTGCTCAGTGCGTAAAGAATGAGTGGACCGATGAGGTGGAATGTCACTGTAAACCAGGACACCCAAGTCAGGGCGATGTGGCTCGCAGCAACTCGGGCCTCTGTGCCCCCGGAGGGGAATGTGAGGTCGTCCTGGGCCAAGGAGTGCCATGCAGGTAAGTCAACTCAGCTAACTCCAAATCCAAGAACTCAATATTCATACTTCTGAGAAACCCTCCATCTCAGTACATTAACTTGCTCCTTTAAACCATGGTTCTCAAACTAGCAGAGTGTCTGTCTCAGAGGAGGTTTCATTGAAATACACACTGGCGGGCCCCACTCCATGTTTGATTCAGTAGGTATGGGTGGGGCTCAAGCAAGGCTGACCTGCTGCCCACAGACTACACTGGAGAACCTGCTCCAGGCTTTTTGGCAGGATTCCTCAAAGACCCAAAGGGGAGGCACAAAGCACCCAAGCCGGTGTTAGTGCCTGGTTTCCACCTTCATTGGAGCATCTGCATGTGTATTTATGTAAGTTGGGTTTTCCCTTGTTTGCACAGGTAATGGTTTTTGTTGTAAGAAAGCTAGAATTACAAGAATGAGGATTTTTTTTAAATCCTTGTGTAATTCTTCACATTTACTACTACTATAATCTTTTGCTGCCCAGTGTTTCATGTATATTTGATTTGTATAGAATTTTCTAAAGCAAAATTGGCCCAGGCCAACTTGTTTTGTAAATCAGCTTTATTTTACTTATAACTTCTTCCCATGTCACTAAGTGTTTTCTGCAGCATTGTTTTTAAGGATCACATCGTCATCCACTCTCCCCTCTTTTCCTAACAGGGAGATTGAGAGAAACTTTTCAGGTGAAGAAAGCTGTAATAGGCTTTGTATTCATAAAGCCAACTCTGGGGCATGGGCAGCTTATGAACCAACAGGGAGCACAACAGCTTCTAATTCTTACGTTCAATACTCAGATGAGGTCTGTGCGGTGGATTCCACAGGGCTTCTGTGCCAGGGCCAGTTCAGAGAATGCTGCTGCCCTCGCCCACTCATGACCTTCTGCGTGTGCGCACACACGCACATATGCACACACACCCTTAAGCACTCATTTGTTTTCTTCTTGTTCTCTAGTGGCCTCCGTTCCCAATTCCCCATGAGGGAGACTTGAGGCCATTTATTTTACACTCAAGCCATGAAACTAGACACACTTAACCTCCTCCTGATGAACCAAGTTCTGTTCTTTAAAGAATTAAAGACTTGAAATAATCAGTAAGAAGTAATGTTCTGCAGTCAACTTGATTGAAGCGTAAGCTTAGAAATTTGCTGAAGTGGCCTCAAACAAATTCTCTCATTTCCTCCTTGAATGAGATTAAGAAAGCTCACCCATTCAGCAATAGCAAGGGATAGCTGATGTTTAAAATATGTGCATCAAAAACGTAAACCACAGACTAATTCTTCAGGGTGTTCTCCAAGCCAACTCAACCCAGTCTCCAAAGGGCTCCTTTTGGAATCTGAACCTCCAGTAATAGAACATGTACAAGGGAAATCCTGAAGCACACGGCAGAGTTGCTATGTCAGATAACAAGACATTCAAAACTTAAAGTATACCCTTCAAACAAAACTTTATATATGTTGAGAAATTCATACTATCAAGCATTTCAAATCAATAGCAAAACTGTTAGCGTTTAATCAGCCTTTCATTTAGAAAACTAAATTAGCTCCTTAAAACAGAAAAGCCATTTCTATAAAGACCCACATCTAAAATCAGAACTATGAAATATAAGGAATATATTTCTTAAACTATTTATGGTAAATTTAACCACAAGAAGGCCACCCCAAACCAAGAAGAAAAGGATCTCCACAGAAGTAACATAATGAGGCAGATAAATTACACATGACGATCAGCATCAACAATATTAAGATCTATGTACCAACAGAAAGCAAACACTTACTAAAATGAGACAACGCAGAGGTACAATTCATAGAAGAAACCCAAGGGAAAAACGCAATAATGATATCATTTGTTGCTTAGGGGTTTGGCAAAAGCATGCTGATACTCAGCGTGGCTAACAATGGGCAAAGTTAGTCTTACCAAATACCACTGATCAATATGTACATTGAAAGAACCTTTGTTTCTTTAAGAAAGAACTTTGTAATTTGGCTGAACTGGTTTTAGACAATTACTCCTACAGAAAGTTACATTTGTGTACCACAATACATACACGAACAAAATGCTCACAGCATCTTTGCTCTGAATTGTAATGCAATGAACCAGGCATCCCACCAAGAGGAAAATGATCTTAAGTGCAGTGTTAATACACACTATGGAACATAGCAGCCAATGGCAGTGATAATTGCTGAAAGCACCATCAAGGGGAAAAAAGCAAAGCATATTAAGCTAGAAAGACTGTAGTAGAACAGATCCTATGAGTAATAAACTCATAACAATGGCAAGTATGTAAATTCAACCATAGTATTGCTATGCTGTCAGTCACAAGTTATCAAACATGGGCAATTCTGTAGGATCCAAATTGATATGTAGATAAATACAGAGACTATAGAATGATACACATGCATATTATTCCAGATAATAGACAGAATAGGGAACATGACTTCAATCACGTTCATGTGTCACTTGTGTGGTAAAGTGAGAAAGGCCAGTGTGAAAGTTTGGGGAAAAGTGGTTAGTTACAAGGGAGCTGCACATGACTTTCAGGAACAGTGATGTGTTCCCTTTTAATTAGCTTTGCCCACTGGTGCAGACGCTGTGCAGTTTGTATTTTAAGCATCTCTTTCTGGAGTAAGAGATTTCATTAGCTCCAGGTTGTCTGCAGTGAGGCCAATAAAGCAAGGCATCAGGTGATTGGGGAGTGAACACAAAGGCCCGTGCTGTTCGACTCCATTCACCTGGGCCTGCCCTGGGGCGGGGTATTCAAATACACAGCCTTGAAGCTAGAGACTTCATAGCACCCACATTTTAGAGACATTTTTGAGCAAATCAGTCACTGGGTGGTAGAAAGGAAGGGAACGGAAAAGAGAAAGATACTTCACCTCTTTTCAGGGAGAGAAAAGCCCACACCATCCCAACTCTGCCCTTCCCAACCCAGAGTACTCCTCCTCAATGATATTGGGTCCAGATTAGCTGCATCTGCTGTCTTGTGAGCGGCTCTGGATGCCCCGTGGAGAAGCCACAGCAATGTGCTGTGCTCTTGGTCCCCCCAGAATCCTGTGACCTGCTTCCTTCCCTCCTTCCCTCCATTTCTTCCAAACCTTCACAAGGAGTCACCATAAATGACTGACAGATAGCTCACAGGAGTATCCTCTGACAAAATAGTCAAGGCTCCTACAGTGGTTAATGTAAGAGGATTTCGAATTACACCCAAGTCCACTGCTGACATTTCAGGCCTAAGTGTGACAGTAAGCCACACTCTTTCACATGTAAGCTTTGAACTTCTCATTTAATGTGGACAATGGAAATAAACTCACGGGTTTAGGAAAGGAATAAAGCAAATGCCCTTGCATGTAAACCACTCAACCACTAGCACCAATAGAGCTGTTCACATCAACAAATGGCAGTCCTGTGAGGAAGAGCAAAATCTTTTATCTCCAAAGATACTTTCCAATTAAAAAAAAAAATTTTTTTTAAAGGCAGACATACAGAAAGGAGAGAAAAAGAAAGTCCTTCTGTTGGCTGATTCATTCCCCAAGTGGCCGCAATGGCTGCAACTGAGCCGATCCAAAGCCAGAAGCCAGGAGCCAGGAGTGTAGAGCCTAGAGCCTAAAGCTTCTTCTGGGACTCCCACACACAACCAGCAAAGCAGTAAAGGACCACCCAACACCTTTCCACCTAAGTGGGAAACCAGGAGGAGGCTTCTGGCTCCTGGATTCGGATGGCTCAGCTCCAGCCATTGTGGCCACGGGAGTGAACCAATGGACGGAAGATCTTTTTCTCTGTATCTCCATGTCTCTGTAGATATGCCTTTGCCATAGAAACATAAATGAAAAAAGAAAAAGTATTACTTGTTACAGCCAGAGCAGTATCACAGGTGCCACATCTAAGCAGTGGAGAGAAAAAGCGCGTTATTCTCCCTCGACATAGCTGCTGTATTGGCACTTCCTTACTGGAAATAAACACCAAATAAACACCAAAACCAAAAGTTTTAGGAAGGAAGAAAGTTTGGTTTGGCTCACGGTTTTGAAGGCTCAGAGTCCAAGATCTGGTGGACTGCATCGGTTCTGCCATGGAACAGGTCTGAGTAGGCCGTGCTGGAGTGCATGCAGCGGGGAGACCTCAAGCCAGAACGCAGAACCCGCAGGAAGGCCAGACTCAGGCCTTTTAAAGAGAACAGCTTCCAAGGACACGCCCCACACTGACGTAAGAAGCTTCCAGCAGCCCCACCTGCTCAGTACCCCAGCTGAATCTGGTCTCTATCCTCCCAATGCCATTAACTCCTGGGTTTGCAAATTAAATGTCTGCAGGAGTTAGGTAATTCAATCCTATTCAAACTGTAGCAGCTGTTATTAAGTCCCTTCTACTAAGCTCTTGCTCCACTTGACAATGGGAAGACTGACGGACAATGAGGTTAGAATTTACTATAGTGCAATTCAGCTTTTAAAACTTCATCTAGTTAATAATTTGAGTATTCGGGCCCTGTGCAGTGGCCTAAAGGCTTAAGTTCTCGTCTTGAACGTGCCCAGGATTCCATATGGTCACCGGTTCTAATCCCAGCAGCCCCGCTTCCCATCCAGCTCTCTGCTTGTGGCCTGGGAAAGCAGTTGAGGACGGCTCAAACCCTTGGACCCTGCACCCACATAGGAGACCCAGAGGAGCTCCTAGCTCCCGGCTTCAGATTGGTGCAGTACTGGCCGTTGTGGTCACTTGGGGAGTGAATCATCGGACGGAAGATCTTTCTCTCTGTATATCTGACTTTGCAATAAAAATAACAATCTTTTTTTAAAAAAATAATAAATAATTTGAGTATTCCCTTTAGGCAATTCAGTTCCCTTGGAACAGAACAGCGGCTTTCCTTAGTCTCACCGTGTCCTGTGGGTAGTTTCTAGACCCACAACCCTTTCACCTGTGATCACTTAAATACAAGTGCTCCCAGCCAGCTGCTGGTTTCTCTACGTTGTCAGAGACTCCATGTGAGGCAATCAGAACAAGGAGAAAGCAAAAAGCTCTATATTACACGGCTGGAGGGGAGACAGGAAACTTGCTACTCAACCTCCTAAAATCACATTCCCCTCTAGTTGCCTACTGTCCTTCAGGCACTGGGACTAGGAGAGGTGGTTTTTTTGCTTTCGTGGGGGAGGGGGTTATTTATTTGTTTGTTTTCCTCTTACTTCCTCTGAAATGATAAGGACTGAAATATTTAGAGAAATAAAATACCAGTCCTCTAAACGTGATACTCATTTTAGAATACACAAAGGAAAAATGTAAAATGTATACATACTGTCAACAGAAATCTTGCAGTTATGTAAATAAGTCAGGACTTATCAAATTTAAAAACACACTGCATTTTTTAATGAAAAAAAAAAAACACTATTAGACATTTGTCAGTAGCTACAACTCAGAAGTTGACTTGAAATGGCTCTTTTTCACCAAATAAACTAACCTGTTATCTCTCCCAGGAGCTTCCTGCAGTGCTTGCAAAGCCCCGTCCCTCAGAAGGGCAACAAAAGGCAAAACCCGGTCGGGAATGCGAAAGCAAGCTTGCTCCCATTGTAACAGGAGACACCTGCAAAAATGTGCTGTGTTCACTTGCTAGGATTTGTACACTAACGTAGCTTTAGTTACAGTTAACTTTGAAATACCCAGGAAACAGAATGCTATATTTTTTCTTTCTTTTGTAGATTGCCAGATCACTCTAAAAATGAAGAGGATAACAGTGCTATCAACTTCCAACATCAGCTAAATAACAAGGTAACAGTCACAGTTCCTACTATAGGCTGGTCTAAATTACTGAATCTGAATTTTTAAGAAAAGTAGAAACATTTCTATACCTGACTCTTGTTTGAAATTCTACCAAAACATGTTCCCTTTATTTGCCAGGCTTTTTAACTTAGACTTTCAGGTGGGAGGCAGGGAGGATATTTCCTGGAGCCAGGAGAGAAACAGCAGGCTCCAATCAACTGAGATGTATAGATAAACACCAGCAGGAAGCAAAACAATGGTTTATAATAATCAAAATCTTTTCAACGAGGTTGAAATGTTCACAATAATCTCTAATCCTGCAACTGAATAATTATTTTTAAAAGTTTCCTTTATTCAAAATAATAAGCTAAATTATGCTTTAAAATGCAGAAGCATGATTTGTGAGTAATGAGTAATACAAAAATTCCTAACATTCCACCCTTAAACAAATGTTCTTTCCAGTCTGCAACATGTCCTTTGCAAACTATTCATCCACCTTATCAACTTATTTCCCTAAAATAATTTTATTCCATAAAAAAATAATTTTTCAATAATCACTTTATAGAGCCTCCACAGAATTCTTTTTAACCTCAAGAGAGAATCCTTACACGATTTTTAGCCTAAAATTACCTATTTTCAAAAATTGTACTTAGGTTTTGAAAACAATGGCTGATAATCAGCCACTGTCCACTGTAAGATTTGCAGTGCTGAGAACAAATAATTGAATGGTTGCAATAGAAAAAATTGTCACAGTGAAAACACAAACATAACAATCTCACTAAATGTTAGGAAGTTATAAATCCAGGGCACAGTAGGAATAATGTGTATCACTTTAATTTCTGAAGCCAAGAGAGTTGGATAATCAGAAAAAGTTCAGAGAGTGATAAAATGATAATAGGACACAGGATATGAATAGACAAATTATCCAGGATGAAACAAAGACTAATTCTGGAAGTGCCAAATAGAGTTATGGACCACATTTTTAAAAAATTTATTTATTTTTATTGCAAAGTCAGAATATACAGAGAGGAGGAGAGACAAAGAAGAAGATCATCCATCTGATGGCTCATTCCCCAAGTGAGCGCAACAGCCAGAGCTGAGCCAATCCAAAGATAGGAATCAGGAGCTGCTTCTGGGTCTCCAGTGGGTGCAGGGTCCCAAGGCTTTGGGCCATCCTCAACTACTTTCCCAGGCCACAAGCAGGGAGCTGGATGGGAAGCGGGGCTGCTGGGATTAGAACCGGCACACATAGGGGATCCTGGTGTGTTCGTTCAAGGCCCACACCTTTAGCCACTAGGCCATTGCGCCAGGCCCAAGGACCACATTTCCAATGTGGTTTGGCAGTGGGACCGGGAATTAAGGATGGTTGGATAATGGCACCAAAACACAGAAGTGATGAATTACAGGGTTTCTCAGCACACTGGAGCATTAGCTCACAATACTGAACACACAACTCAGTGAGAGGATCATGTAAACTGCAAACAGTAAGATAAACCAGTGGGAAGGCCGGTGCCTGGTCTGATTGGCTTATGCTATGATATTATCTATGTTTGTGTTAAAACATTTGTTAAAATATTACACTGTAACCCAGAAAAATGAAATGTATTACATCTTAAACTTTTTAACAAACATTTTTTTTATGGTGAATAAAAAAGAAGCCGTAACTTTCATAGTGGGAGGTAATCTTGGAGAATCCTATTTCAAAGCAGGATTTCAGTATCAACACTGATTATTCATGGCTACATGAGGTCCTGGCTTCACAGGACATGTCTCAGTTCCACAAGGAAGAGGGCAGTAACAGATGAATGAGGTCTACTGTGCCAGCAAGGGAATACAGTGACCCATTCACAGACCATTTGCCCGTTTGTCCCAAAAGAAGGCTTCACCTGTCTTAACAACAGATGGGAGAAGTCCCAAGTAGGTTATAAAGGTAAGAATACTTTGAGTACATCTCTCCCACCCTCTAAAAGACATTTTAAATGGCAAGCACAACTTCTCCTAGGCATTACTGGAATAAACTATCGATGTGACTTTGGACAGAATCTTGAAATAATTTCTCTTCCAGGTAACCAGGAAAAGAAAGTCTGAATCTCCTACTGTGGGAAATGAAGAATTTAACCATCCAGATTGGCAAAGAAATTAAAAATGGAAAACATGAACGCTATCATGTAGGCTGTCTCAAGAGAGGTGATTTGCATAACCTGTGACCTCTCCATCAGCACTCTGAAACCAGGGGCAGACATATCCTTAAATCATCAGAACTGACGCCTACAGTCAGCATTAAAGGCCAGCACATACTGCATTTCAAGTGCAGAAGAGTCACGTACTTAGTAAGTTCTGAAGAAAAGCTATTGAAATTCAAAATGTAATCACTGACATATTTTGACTATCCTTGGGTAACACTTGAGGGAATAGCAAATAGGTTTGCTTGAGGTTTTCTTAAAATAGTACACATAGATTGTTTGCGGCAAGCCCAAGTTATATCTTAGAGACTGAACGCTGTATCAGGAAGCAAACTGTTATGTTAGAAGGTGTTCTAAAGATAATTTTTCATACAAGGAGATAAAAGTCTCTTCAAATAAATGAATATATAATATGTAAGCAGTGTGGTGAATGAATGCTCCATGCTACCCTATCATGCCTATAAAAATATGATGTAGGTAGGTATATGTGTGCTGACACAGACCACATTCACACACACACTGTACACATGGTTCAATCTTTTTAGGTACACTAATTGTACACATGCAACTAGTACTTAACATGGCAGATTGCTAGGTTTTTCATTGTTCTTTAAACAAAGCAGGAACTAAGGTTAAGAAACACATAGCATGGAAAATAATCTCCTGTCACTACGCAGAACTACCTTACCGGATGACTTCAGATCGGACAGCACAGGGATAAAGTTGGAGGTTGAACGGTGTGGCATACTTAAGTTCTGTTTTCCACCTCAGATGAGCAGTGTCTCACTCTAACTCAATGCTTCCTCACACTAACTTTGGTCTGAGTATGCTTACACTCTTATGTACTACTTAATGTAAAGTTAAACTGATTCTCTTCCAAATGGTCCACTATCAAATAGCTTTGCTGTAAAACCTGAATTTCAATAAAAATGATAAGCACTTTGTTCACAGAAATAGTTTTTATTTCACAATAAATAGTTGTGCTTTATTAAATCTTTCCTGGGCTTTCTTTACGGATTCAGCAAATTAACTTATGAATAAAGATCTTAATACTACCAAAAAACAACACAACAGTATACAACAATACCAGTTTTTAATAGTAAGTTTCAAAAACAAAACAAAGCAACATATTTTCTAATGATGGAGATGATCTGTAGGAAAGGGAAGGGCTACAATCCTTATAAATTCACATCTGCTGCTTCTTTCTTCATTCTACCCCAATACTCCTCCAAAAGCAATAACGTGGGACAGTCATCAGGATGACACATTCCAAATCACAGGTCAAAGGCAGGAGGCAAATCCTCGGAACTGGCCAGAAGACAAAATTATTAGATGCATAAAAAGCTGATAAAAGCATATGACAAAAAATTCTATGAAGAAAGAAAAGGATGTATCATTATCACTTCCCCCAAATGGGCCTCTCACTCTCTGTATCTCAGCTGTGCTCCAATGTAGGGAATATCATTTTTGATGAGGAAAGAGGAATAAACACTCTCCATTCTCTAAGGACCTCTCATTCATTACATCACCGTCCTGTGGAGGGAGCTTTTCCATCAGCCAGACCATAGCTAGTGAGGAAGCTGGCCAGGATCTCCTGCCCTCCCACCCCCTCACTTGCAGAAGACCCACCAGGGCCGTGGTAGGTTCCAGACATGGGATATGGAGGAAGATCTACAGGCAACCTGTTGGGAAAGCTGTAGGGAGAGGGATTCTACAGGCCCTGTGTCTTCTCATAGATTAGAGGCTGGGGATACTGGGGAAAAGCAGTTTATCTGCCTCTCATCTAGGCAAAATGAAAAGTACTGACACACACCTTCCTGCCTGTTGCTAGATGGAAATCATTTGGAGCCAATGTTCCAGGAAGTTTCAATCCCTTCAGATCCTTGCCTCTTGTTACATTTAACCACCGCTCCAACTTTGTTAATCTGAGACACTGGCAACTTTAACACCCACAACTATATTAAAAGCACAAGAATGTAAAATAAAGTTCTACACTGAAAACATTGATTATCTGTATTTCCGGGACACCAGTATTTCAGAACAGTGTAAGATATGCACTTTTTAGAGAATCAAGATGGCAGAATAGGGTAAGGACACATTTAAACAGATGAAGAAACATTAGCCACGGTGAGACAGAGAGGGCACATTCCAGGAAACAGGAGAGGACAAACTGACCAACAGAGGGGCATCTGGAGACTGATGGACACACAAAAGCAGCAGAGACAACGGTGTGGTGCTACAGTGACCCCATACACCAGCATATTTAGCAAGGGGCAATTTGAACTCCAGTGACCAGAACTCCACCAGCAACCAGGTGGGAAGGCAGTTCACCAGGAACTCAGGGGGTGAACCCAAAGAACTGTCCATCCTGCTGGTTTGTTTGATTTGACCAGGAGCAGAGACAGAGCACCAGAGACCAAACAGGTGGTGTGGGAACAGGATGGGTTTCAGAGATCAGATGCTCAGTACAGCTCAATCAGGCACACTCTTGTGCAGGGAGGCAATGGCTAGGGGACAGGACTACACATGCACTAAGATGGGACCGAATTCATTTCAGGCTCAGTGAATTGCAACAATGTGGCATCCTTCAGATTCCACCCAAAATCAGTCCAGGTAGCCCACAGACCTAACATTAAGCAGATCAAGAACTCCATAAGTTGCAAATCCGGTGCCATTTTGTACAGCGTGACAAAGGCTTTGAGACTGCAGGAACAACAGTGAGCTGCTCATTCACTCAGCTGGGAGCAAACTCACTGAGCTAAGTACATAGCACTAGTCCCACATTGAAAATAATACCGACTTTGGCATCTAATGACTCAAAATGGTCCATGTGGCCTTCAGAGCTAATGGCCAGCATTTTCTGGCAAGATCAGCACTGCCATCAACCTAAGTATTCAGGACACCTGGTGATTCCCTAACCCTGGTTCTGGGAGAACTCAGGGGAGGTGGAAGAAAATTACAGGAGGAGGGACAATCCCAGGGTCTATGGAACTGTATCATAAAATGATAATAATATGATAATAATAAAAGGAAAAAATATATTCACTTTCAGTTAGATGAGGAAAAACTAACAATTATAACTATAGTAGATGGCTCTTCATGTTGAAAATAAAATGGCTAATTACTAAACCTATTGTAATTGAAAGTGACAGTCTACACTGGTACAAATTAGGACTAAATATTTTTTTCAAGAGTGCACAAATTCTTCCTAATTATCTCCTGAAAATTTTCTGAAAAAAAACTTTATCATAGGGAATCATCAAAATATCAGTTTGTAAAACTGCATATATTAAATACATGAAACATGTTCCCTTTATGTAAATAATAGCAGAAAAAGAAGTTAATGGAAAAGGCACATTATGAAAAATCTATGCATGAGTTTAAAATGTATTATACCAAAAAAAAAAGCCTTATCTTTTAACTCCATATTCCATGAAACTTCCCAAGTACTCACATATTAGGTAAGTGAAGGAATAATATACGGATTTAATTCTAACTTAGCTATATTCTAACTTATTTTAATTCTAACTTAGCTATATTCAAATATGTGCTCCTTGCATGAGTAGACTCTTTCTGAAAAAGAATTTATGTTTTAATTTCCCATGAGGTTTTTGTGGCAGTGCCACTCCAAATACCACATTGATCTTAATGACAGTTTTCAAACAATGTCTGATTTGAAAGGCAGAAGATGCAGAGGGCAGGGAGAGATAGAGATCAGTAGAGCTAAACAGTGATTGATTGATTGATTTCATCCATTGGTTCACTCCCCAAAGGGCTGGCCCAAGTCATAGCTAGAAGCCAGAAACCCTGTCTCTGAAATGACAGGGTCCCAAGCACCTGGGTGTCATCTGCTGTCTTCCCAGCCACATCACCAAGGAACTGGATCAGAAGTAGAAGGGGTGGAAATCAAACCTACAGGCCAATAGGGGGTGACAGCACGGCAAACAGCAGTTTAGTCTAACACACCATATGCTGGTACCATGAGGTCAGTTTAAGGACCACAGAGGTGATCTGATGCTATATATCCTAAAACTTACCAAAGACCTAGAAGTGCTATGTGGCCTTCAAATGTCTCACATCTAGCGGGTAGAGTCCTGGGGCACCACTTCCTTCCCTCCACCACTGCTCTTCTCTTTCCTTGCTGCCTCCAACTGTCCGTGATTCCATTGTCAAGAATCTGCCCTCTCTCCTTCCTCACTGGAATGCTTTCTGGAATAAATCAAAAGAAATCAAAACTCTCAATACTTGTTATCAAGAGTAGAAAACCTGTCACATTTTCTGAAGATGTGCAGAGGCAGAGAAGGAAAGTTCCCAACATCCTCAGGCAACCACTAAAAATGTTTGCTTGTTTTGATTCTTTTGAAACCAGTAATTAAAGCAAAGCTGCATATTCTTTTCATTCTAGAAAAATGAACTGACCTCTCTGGACTTATGTCACCTCTTCCATAAAATGAGAAAGGTCTATCACTAACATTACAGTAATCCTTCAATCCAATAAATATTTATTCAGCTGTTACAAGTACCCTTAGGTTTACATACTTGAAACCCCAGAAACCACATAAATAACCCGTGAATGCAAGTATCTCTTAAGTTATCTAATAAAGCCCCACCAACAGTAAACACTCATTATTCTTGCCAGTGGGTTCCATTGTCTCAGTTGTCACAGCCTCCTATTTTCCACTTAAGATGATGTTTTTCTTTGTTGGTTGCAAAACAAATGAGTTCACTGTGTTCTTGGAAAGAATGACCTATACAAAGTCACTAGGAAAGTAGAAAGGGCTATTTTATTTATTGTGTTTGTATCCTCAGATTATTTCTTCTTTAAGGTATCTTAGAAAGTGCTGACTCCTCACCTTTTCAACCTAGAAATCCCAGTGTTCTCTTTACACATGTGGGCTAGATCAAGCTCCTTTTCTAAGTAAGCACCCACACCCATAGCTCATAATGCAAATCTCGATCA